AGGGTTTAGTAAGTAAGGTTATAAGTCCCCTAATTGGGGTTATAAGTATAGCTATCTTAATTATAACCCTACTTACTAAGTCCCATGATCCTTTAAGTACAACGCCCAGTAACACCCGCAAGCAAATAAGGCTACCCGGTTTCCGACCAAGAACCCTGCAATCAATAAAGGTATCAGGATCCCAGAGACTCCAAAACCCCTGAATTAAGGAATATACCTTAAACCATATTAGGATTCCTATGCTAGTCTAAGGTATATTCCTTAATTCAAGGGTTTTGGAGTCTCTGGGATATTGCTGACAGGGACCTCCGTCTAGCGGAACCTGCTTACAAGATCAAGGTTTTAGGGTTTAGGGTTTAGGAGCAATTTGGGGGAGGATTGATGACAGTGAATCACTCGCGTCCTGGGCCACGTAACTGAACAACTGGGTTAGGTCACTGAGATCATCGCCTGGGCTGCGACGGTTTGACATATAAGCCTTGAATATTTAGACTTTGGTGTGGGGGGTGTCTATAGCGTACATAGATTACGGAAGCCTAAGGCTCAGTACGGTTGATGGACACAATTCTGCATGACCCAAATATAGTATAGTACTATAAATCCCATAGTTTAGGTATATAAGGTCATGCAGGATTTTGTCCATCAACAGTATCACTAAGTGTCAGGTTCAGGGTCTGAGTTGGAGCTGGAGGTTCGCAGTTTCATTCGGCAAAACAATCGGGGCCATTGAGTTTAGGCCGCGGTTGTACAAGGCAAAGGGACAGATATGCAGGCAAGCGGTAAGAATGCTCCCAAAGCCTCAAAGACTGGGCTTTGAAGTAACCAGGGAGAAAGAAGTATAGACTTTTATTTTATAATGGTTCCTTTAAGGAACAGGTCCCCAAAAAAGAATAGTATGGTACTCCAAAGCCTCAGAGAGCTTTAGAGTTTCGGGCTTCGGGCTGGCATCCTGAAGCCCTAAACCTGCATAAGCCTTAAACGGTGCTACTTCAGGATCCGAGCCACAATCGATGAAGGCCCGGGTGCCAGGCAGCCTCCTTTCCTTACTCAGGGAGACCGGAACACGAAATAGGTGGAGGCCAACGGAACCGCAGCAATTTAGGTTGAACTTAAAATCAAAAAAAGGCTGCCCTCAGTCAGGGTACTTGTAACTCCAAACACACGCTAATCAGTCAAGTATGTGGTGATACGCAGGCAGTTTGTCTGGCTGTGGTGGGTGTAAACTAGCCGGCTTTCGCAAGCTCTAGACTTTATCCGTCTATGCTCGAGTTTTACCGATTGCTTGAGTATGGGAAATTCACTGAACCCGAAAGGAACCTCAATCCCCTATAGAGCCTTTCAAAAGCCCCTTTTCGTAAAACCCGAAACCCTACCAATTAAACCCCATACCCGAAAGATTGCAAAATGGGAACCTCAAAAATGAGCCCTACAACCTCTTCTAGGGGCCCTTCAGAAGCCCTTCTGCAAGACTCCACGGAAGACACCAACAGAGGAGGAACCCTAGACCCTAAACCCTAAACCCTGAGCCCTAAACCCGAAAACCTTGAGCCCTAAACCCCTAAACCCCTAAACCCAAAACCCTAAACCCTAAACCCTAAACCCAAAGAGGAGGACCCCTAGGCGCCCCAAAAGAGCTGCAGAGCTTCCAGCTCCATTTTCAGTAGCCGGGCCATAGCACCCGCATCGCGCTTGTGGTGACAGAGGAAGAACTTGAAGCGCTTGCCTTGGGTTTAGGGCTTTAGGGGTTTAGGGTTTGGGGGTTTAGGGTTTAGGGGTTTGGGGTTTAGGGGTTTAGCCTTTAAGGGTTTAGGATTCGGGGTTGAGGGTTTAAGCTTTAAGGGTTAAGCTTTAAGGGTTTGGGATTTGAGGGGTTCGTCTGAGGAAGCGTGGGGTTTGGGGGTTTAGGATGCTTCTAATCACCAAACAATTTTCAGTTCCCAACAGCCCAAGAGAATCCAACAAATCTCTAGACTCTATAAACCCTATGAAACCCTTCTAGAAGCCTATATCAGCCCTGTAGAACCCTTGCCAAAACCCCAAGCCCCATACAATGCCGACGAAATCCTGAGCCCCATAGAAACCCTTGTGCAAGTACTATCCTAAAAACCCTTGAGACCCTGCACCCTGAACCCCTGAATGCCTAAACCCTTAAACCCTAAACCCATAAGGGTAGTTTTCTAAATTAGGGTCCCGTTTGAGGTCCCCAATATAGTACGGCACCCCTTATAAAAAGGATCCCCTGAAAGGGACCCTGATCAAGAGAACTACCCATAAGCTCTAAACCCTAAACCCTTAAAAACCCTAAACCCTTAAAAACCCTGAAACCCGAAACCCTTAAAACCCTAAAACCCTTAAACACCCTAAAACCCTAAACCCATAAGCTCTCAACCCTAAACCTCTTCGAGACGAGCTTCGGAACTTTTGCTCAAGGCAGCGGGACATTCCCAAGCAGAGAGTCCCGAGCGAAGCAAGGAACCTAGAGATGCTTTTCGGAAGTGCCTTCTGGGTTCTGCTAGCCCAGACCCCCAAAAGGATCTAAAAATAGATCCCCCAATTAGGGACCCTAACTACTAAAGGGTACTTTATAGGAACCCTCTTAGGGCATCTATTTTTTAGATCCTTTTGGGGGTCTGGGAAGGGGTTGGGGTTTGGGGCTTGGGGTATGAATCTCCAGATCGCTGACCGGTAACATAGCTATTTGGCTGATACCCCCATGGGCGAAGAGCACCACGTAAAGACGTGGGTGTTGCAGAACAAACAGGGGTTCTGGAATTAAGGCTCCCATGGGGTCCCTTATGAATGCTACAGTTCTACAAGGATGATGGGATGCTTCTTGCTGCCCCGCTTACCGAACCGTTCCAGACGGCATGGAGATTGTCCGGCAAAGCTGGCAACGATGCTCATGAACCCTAAAGCCGTGAAAGGTCGAAACCTTAAGCTTTAGACGACCTGCAAGAAAGAAGAGACGTACTTCGACAAGGGTTTCCTGTTGAAGGACTAGGGTTCAGGGTTTAGGGTTCGAAGTTCCAGGGTGTAAAATTCAAAAGGTTGCAGGCAAATCACGGACGTTGAAGTAAGCCCTACCCAGACCCCCAAAAGGATCTAAAACATAGATCCCCTAATTAGGGACCCTAACTACTAAAGGGTACTTTATAGGAACCCCCTTAAGGGATCTATTTTTTAGATCCTTTTGGGGGTCTGGGTAAACAGTAGGGTCCGGCTTACAATAGACGAAGGAGTAGTAAGACATCCCTGTTTAACCACACCCCTTGTTTCGGAACAACTCGTAATGACTAGTAAAGGTATCCCCTTAGAGCCCTTTGCAGTCATACCAAAGCCATACCCCAAAACCTGCTCAGGGGCCTTAGTAATTAGACTATGGTTTGGGGGTATACCGTACTAAATATAAACCCTAAGCCCTAACCCCAGAGCCCAAGACCCTGCTCAGCTATCAAGGAACCTGTAATAAGCCAGACCCCCAAAAGGATTTAAAAAATAGATCCCCTAAGGGGGTTCCTATAAAGTACCCTTTAGCAGTTAGGGCCCCTAATTAAGGGATCTATTTTTAGATCCTTTTGGGGGTCTGGGAAGGGAACCCGTGGGATCCTACCAGAAGGGTTTAGGGTTTAGGGTTTAGGGTTTAGGGTTTGGGGTTTAGGGTTTAGGGTTTAGGGTTTGGGGTTTAGGACCAGAAGACAAGACACATCAGTGAGATGAAGACAATCACGATCTGGGCCGTGGCGGTCCTTAATGTAATGCAGGGGCCTTAAAAATTTTAAATAGGGTTGTGGGGTCCTTTATAGTATAGTTATAAGAAGGAACCCCAAAATAATGTAAGTAATTATTGAGGCCCCTATACTCATGTAAACTCCTGGTTCTGAAAAGTCTCCCCTTATTTGCGATTTAAGATCCCGGTTCTACCCCCTACCCCACGGTTTATGAAACGTGGTATGCCGTGGAGGTACTAACAAAACAAGTTATGTGAAGAACATAGGGATCGACACTATGATCTACGTTACCGGTTTGTTCCGTGATAAAGGGGGTGTTTCTAAGTAGGGGGCCCCGGTCCTTTCGACAGGAAAGATGGTCGTAGTCCCGCACAGCGATGACGTGAGGAATTTACGGCAACTCAGAACAACGTCCTCCATCAGAGGTAGAGCCCCCTTCCCAGGCCCCCAAAAGGATCTAAGACATAGATCCCCTAATTAGGGACCCTAACTACTAAAGGGTACTTTATAGGAACCCCCTTAGGGGATCTATTTTTTAGATCCTTTTGGGGGTCCGGGTTTCCTCCCAATGTGCAGGTGCGTTTGGGCCCCCGTGACTGTGGGTGGGATTGGCTTTGCCTTTGCTCAGTCCTTCCTTCTTCAGTAAGAATTGGACACCTGGGAGTTTCAGAAAACTTAGGGTACCTTATTTTGGGGTCCTTATAATAGGGATCCTATTATTTAGGGTACTATATTAGGGTCCCCTATTTTCGGAAACCCCCACATGGTGTCAAATCATGCGCAATGATCTCAAGACGGGGCATGTTGTTGACCACATACTTGTTCTAGTGTGGGACCTTTGCTTGGAGTCTTCGCGAAAAAAAACTCCACTCGTCCTCCAAACTCATGTTCCATGAAGGTCCCCATATACGCATGGAGAGGAGTCGGGATTTGCAAGGCCTGAACATCCACACCAAGATTGAACAACACATCAAAGCATACCCTTTGCAACGTCTGAGAGTCCTGTCTCTGTCTTGGACCGTGACAGCACCCATGTCCAGGATCACCAGAATACCCAGCAGAATGGCCATGTCGGAGGAGTTGCCTTGGTCGGGTCGATTGCAAGAGGGGCTTCACAATTAGAATAGTAGGGTTTAGGGTTTAGGGTTTAGGGTTTAGGATGCTGGGGCATGTTATGGTGTAAGATGTTGTGGGTGTTAGGGACTGAAAGGTAGTACTGATTCCGACGTGCATACTGACCAGACTTCAACAGTCTCCTCGAAAGCACAGGGGCCTCTAGATTTCTTGTGAGGCTTCTATTACAAGCCTGATTTGGGGCTATGCCAGCAAAGACTAATCACTTCCCGTGTGTAGTTCACACACCCCCGAATAATAACAACACGTTTGGGCAATCCTCGAAATCATCCCTGCCCATTAAGATAGATCCTAATTTGCATTAGGTGGGTCCTGAGCAAGAGCAGGGGCAAGAGCAAACGTAAGAGCAGGAGTAAGAGCAAGAACCACAGCAAAAGCAAATGCAAGAGCTGGAATAAAAGCAGAAGCAAGAGCAAGAGTAACGGCAAGAGCAGCAGAAAGAGCAGGAGCAACAGCAAGAGCAAGAGCAGGCGCACGAGCGAGAGCGAAAGGCATAACAAGAGCAGGAGCAAAAGCCCTCAAAAGTGACAATCGAGAAAAACATACCCCCTGATAACAAAAACACTTTGCAATTTTTTTTTTATCGGCGGGGGGACCACCCGCGGTTTCATATTAGGGGCAAGGGATTACGATAAGGGTGCCTCCATAACATGAGAACGTCTACGAACAACGAAACGGGCTCAGTACTTTCCCACAGGGTGCGAGATTTAATACTACACTTAAGACCCTCTGGGTGTCAGGGAAGCTGCAGACAGCGAATCGCCAAGGCCGCAGCAATGCCACCAGAAGCAGGTTCACGTAGAGCACCAGGCCTAGTTCGTTAGCTGGGGAGTTGCTCAACATGCTCGTCCTTTCGCACATTCTGACTACAGCATATCAAAAGGACAAGCTTAAATGTAAAGCCCGAGCTGTTAAGCCATCTAACTTTATTGCGATATTGCAGGAATCTACGAACTCACTACTTATTCAGGCGCAGAGCGCATCGCACATCAACAGAAGAGCAAGTTGAAGTCAGTCAGGATCTAGACGGGAAGCCCTTAGCCCTTGAAGCCTTAACCCTAAACCCTAAACACTTCAGGGTTTAGAGGGCTCCGGGTCTATATGATATATGAAAGGTTCAGGAATCAAGGGCGAATTCTGGTCGATAGCGCCGAGAAGCTCATCATCATAAGCTTCGTCGACTGCGCGGCCAGCATTGGACAAAGCGCCACCAGTGTATTCCGTACCAGCAGCACCACAGCAAAGAGCTCTGCACCCGGACGGAAGCAACCATTCAGAAAAATAGGATCGGTTATCTCACAATGGTTCCTTTAAGGAACAAGTCCCCAAAAAGAAGAAAGTATGCTCCTCCAGAAACCAGAAGCGTATGATCAAGAAGGAGCAGGCTCTCACGAAGCAGGCATCTGATTGAACCACACGTCTGGGAAGCTCCACTGTTACAAGCCAAATGCAAACCTTAGTCGTCCACATGCATGTGGAAAGGAAATCGCGATATCGTGTAGACCCCAAACTACTCAGCCCAACCCGCCATCACACGGATCACAGAAGCTAGCAATGTCTGGATAAGGAGGCCCTTGACGAACACTCTGCGCAAACGGGGTGTATTGATCAGTAGTCTACATTGGAGGATACATTCACCCCTAAACCCTAAATCCTAAACCCCAAATTCTAAACCCTGAACCTTAAACCC